TAGACTGTAGACTGTAGACTGTAGACTGTAGACTGTAGATTGTAGACTATAGACTGTAGACTGTATTCTTAGACTGTAGACTGTAGACTGTATACTATTGACTGTAGACTGTAGACTGGAGACTGTAGACTGCAGACTGTATACCATTGACTGTAGACTGTAGACTGTAGGCTGTAGACTGTAGACTGTAGACTGTAGGCTTTAGACTGTAGGCTTTAGACTGTAGACTGTAGACTTTAGAATGTAGACTGTAGACTGTAGACTGTAGACTGTAGACTGTAGACTGTAGACTGTAGACTGTAGAGAAAATTGGTCGACTTTGAAAAAAAATAGACTGTAGACTGTTGGCTGTAGACTTAGACTGTAGACTGTAGACTGTATTCCATTGACTGTAGACTGTAGACTTAGACTGTAGACTGTTGGCTGTAGACTTAGACTGTAAACTGTAGTCTATAGACTATAGACTGTAGACTGTAGACTGTAGACTGTAGACTGTAGACTGTAGACTGTAGACTGTAGACTATAGACTGTAGACTGTATTCTTAGACTGCAGACTGTAGACTGTATACTTTTGACTGTAGACTGTAGACTGTAGACTGTAGACTGTAGACTGTAGACTGTAGACTGTAGACTGTAGACTTAGACTGTAGACTGTAGACTGTAGACTGTAGACTGTAGACTGTAGACTGTAGACTGTAGACTGTAGACTGTAGAGAAAATTGGTCGACTATGAAAAAAAAATATTACATTGTGAAATTCATTTTTTATTCTCCACAATCAAAACCAACAATAAAAAGGCTTGAATATATCTAAAGCCTGGATTAATTAAGACTAAAAAAGCTTGAATATACCTAGAGCCTGGATTAATTAAGACTAAAAAGGCTTGAATATACCCTGGAGCCTGGATTAATAAAGGCCTGTGACAAGATAACAAGCATATAAATTACCATTGATAAATCAAATATACTTGAGATGGAGTAATTATAAATTAGGAACTATTAATTAACAATAGACATCTCTCACAACATTTAATATTTATTACACCTTGAAAATATACACCATGTGAACTCAAATATTTTTTTCTGTTACTGATTATTCCGATAAAGCAAGGGTTTATTAAGAAAATAATAATTATAATAATGTTAATAATAATAATAATAATAATAATAATAATAATAATAATAATAATAATAATAATAATAATAATAATAATAATAATAATAATAATAATAATAATAATAATAATAATAATAATAATAATAATAATAATAATAATAAGAAGAAGAAGAAGAAGAAAAGCGGAGAAGATCAGATAAGATGAAAAGATAAGAAGATAAGATAAGAAGATATGATAAGAAGATGAAAAGATTAGAAGATGAAAGATAAGAAGATAAGATAAGAAGATGAAAAGATAAGAAGATAAGATAAGAAGATGAAACTAAGAAGATGAAACTATGAGGAGATGAAAAGACAAGATAAGATAAGAAGATGAAACTATGAGAAGATGAAAAGACAAGATAAGATAAGAAGATGAAACTATGAGAAGAATAGAATGAGGAAATTCTAGACCGAAAATCTCACGCAATACTGCAATACACAAGCAACAGAGCGTTGCGTACAAAAATTCTCACATTTGCGTATCCCTGCGTATCCCTTGCGTCTTGGACAGGATTATACGCGGTCAGTTGAAGAATAAAGTTTATATCTGCAACAATAATTATCATATTCAACACAAATATACCAGTTAGAGACATGGAATACATAAAAAACTTTTAAAGTGAGGTTTGCCATAAAATTGGTTTGCCGATAAAGTAATAAAGAAGGCTTCGGGAAAAGGTACAAGTGTCCCAATAAAGGATGGGAATTAATTGACGCTTTTAAATCGTCAAAAATTTACATACTGAACCTAGAAGCCCCCTCATCATGGGATTTACAAACTGTAGTCCACCTGTTTTGTACCGTGAAACTAATTTGCAATTTATTTAATGTCAGCATACTTGTCCAGCTTTCCAGTCCGTCATGTCTCCAATCCGTTATGTTCTTAAAAACAAAAACGCTGGACCGTATTTTGGAATGGAATTTTTTCTTAAATTCAAAATCTCAAATATCGAAGACGATCTTCAATCCCATCATGTTTTGGGACTGGGTTTGAGACGTAAAGATATAAAAAATAAACAAAATTAAAAACAGTGGCTTATATGACCTTTATAGCCCCATATTTAGTTATAATATTTGCTTTAATAATAACAATACTTTATTTAAGGCAGACACTACCTTTAACCTTGACTACTGATGGATATAGTTTTGAGGTTCGTCTTTAATTATTCAATGTTTTTTACTTTTAAGAGGTTTCACAAAAATATCTGAGATATGAATCCTTTTTCAAAATTGAATGCTAGACAAGCTTTCTTTTATTCTGACGTAAAAGATATTATCCAAAACAATTTTTTTAAAAGATTAGAAAATTGTTTTACGTCTTTCGTTTTGAAAAATCGTTTGATTAATATCTGATATCACAGAAAAAAATCGCATAATAAAATTAAAGCAAACTTATCGAGTATACTTAAAAATTGGACATGATCGGTTAAGACGTTTTTGCAATCGTTAAATAAAAGTGAACTGATTTGTTTGCCACAAACTCTGCTTTTCTTATTCCTATATCTATGCAACCCAATATGATTCTTTAAAGATATATACATCAGTTTCTTTTTTAAATAAGAAATATATCAGAACCATTTTCCGCCATTTTTTGTTTTTAAAATAGCTTTATACTTGATTTGAAATAAACCTAAAAAAACGATTTAAACAGAACCTAGCGCAATACTTAAAACAGCAATTTTAACCAGTTTAATGAATGAATTTGTATAATTATTGAATATTTATAATTGCTGAGAACTTTTGGTAAAGTGTTAGGAAAACGTTCAATCTTAATTTACTAATAAATGTTAAAATTGTATTTAACATACATTCCGAGTAGGCCCGGCTCAGAGCTTTTGATGCTTTGAACCATGAGTTGAATCGAATTTAAATGAACAAATTTTGTTTAGACTTGTGATTTTTTTAGAAAAAAATGATTTAAGATGGCAATTTTTTCTAAAAAGAAACTGTTCACGTTTCGAAGGTAAGTTTAAATTAGAAAATGTTCCATATACATGGAAGTTGCGATACTTCAGGTTTACAATACAACGTTTTTTATATTAAATGTAGAGACATTTCATTAATATACATTTCCTCAATTCAGTGAGATACATAAAACTTTGGAATAGGAAGACGACATTATAGAAACATTATGTGTACCAAATGTTGTTTTAAAAGGCGACTAGTTTTCATGTCAAAATGAAGAAAATTGGATCTTTGACATGTGTGCAATGCATCATTGTTGTATCAATGGATCACTTGTAGACTATTTAAGATCAGAAATTGTGACAAAGATTCCAAGTTCCTGATCTAAATATGAAAACAGATCTGCATATATTGAGTCCTTGAGGCGATTAAAATAATATTAACATTTAAAACATCACATCTCATCACATCTCAATATAAATATAAATATATACAAAAAATACATTATTACATATAGAAATTGATGGTTAAAGTTTATTGTAACTTTTTGAGATTTATTCCCTGACCTCATTCTTTTCCTAAATTTAGCATTTAGTCAACTAAAACTTTTCGAGGATTTTTTGTTAGTGTTATTTTAATTTGATAGCGCCGTTTTTGCTATTACAACATAAAACGTAATTTTTGCTGTGTGACCTTTTTTCTTAATGAAAAGCAACCCCATCACATTAATAAGGGTTAAGTTAGGCCCTCTGAGGCGCCACAGGCCCGAGCACTTCAGCTAGGGTAGGCTATGGACCCGAATGCTGCGGCTAGGACAGGCCGGGTAAGTCTTTTACACAGAATAAAAACAATATATTTTTAGCAATTGTTCTATAGAAGCAAAAATTACGTTTAGTAAGAAAGCACGCTAAAAAAGTGATGCAAGCCAAAATGTCGTAGAGTCAATTTTTTTAAAACTTTCCTTTTCTTTCTGTGTATTCATATTTTTCAACACTTCCTTTTATCTCTATGTATCCTTCTTTTTCTATACATACTCTGTTTTAATACTTCATGCTCTTTGATCCTCCCTTCTTTTATATGCTTTATTCTATTTTATTCTTTCTTCTTTTATATACTTTATTCTATTTTATTCCCCCTTCTTTTATTTGCTTTATTCTATTTTATTCTACCTTCTTTTATATGCTTTATTCTATTTTATTCTTTCTTCTTTTATATACTTTATTCTATTTTATTCCCCCTTCTTTTATATGCTTTATTCTATTTTATTCTCTCTTCTTTTATATACTTTATTCTATTTTATTCCCCCTTCTTTTATATGCTTTATTCTATTTTATTCTCCCTTCCCTTGTATGCTTTATTCTATTTTATTCTCCCTTCTTTTTCTTTACATCCTTTTCTATCCAAACCTTACTTTCTTTCTACACGTCCTTCTTTTAATACTTTCTATATTTTTATTTCTAATTCTCTTTTCTGGCTTTCTTTTCAGTTTCGCTCCTCTCTTTCCTTCCTCTTCCTCCTTATTCATCAGTGCTTTCGAATAATCTATAAAAATTAGTTTTTCAACGTCAGCAAGAAGCATTTAAAAAAAGTTTTATAAATCCATGAAAATAAATCTAAAGATTCATAAATACATGTTATGAATAGTCATACAGCGTTAAAAGTTCTGCTTTGTCAAGAAAAAACGTTTAGAATAATGAATACCCTGCTACATGGTTCATGATTTTATATTTTGTAATCTATACAATTATAAATTCACAAATTAAACAAAAGAAACCTGGGTACAAAGAAAAGCCAGCGAACTCATTCAAATAAAAAATGGCGCACTACCGCACAATGCGCAGCGTTCGCTGTAAAACGACGCGGCATCCAAGCTATTAATTTATATACATGGAGATGAACGCGGTACGTCGCGCTCGACAGGACAAGAACAAGAGATATGCCCCCCCCCCCCCGCCGCCTGTACGTATACTATAGAAACAAAACTGAAGATTAAAATTTGTAATATTTTAAGAAGATGAAAAAATTTTAATTAAAAAGAGAAAAAAAGGTCTATTACAAGGGGGGAGGAGGAAAGAGGGGGGTTCATGGTCTTTAACAATTTCTAGAAGTTCAGTTTACTTAATTTAGACAATGAAGAGTTCACGCGTGTTATTCCCATCATAAATCATTATTTTAATCATTAAACATCAAACTAATTGATAAAAACTAATCTATAATGGACTAGTTAACATGAACTGAAGAAGGATTCTAGATAAATACATAATAGGAATGTGAATTCTACAATAATATAATTACTGTAATATATTATTCCTAATCTTATGGTGAGAACCAAATAATCAATTAAGAGATATGTAGTCAGCCTAATTTTAAGTGACCTTGAATTCGAGTGCTATAAATGATTCACAATCACTTTTTGTACTGGTAAACCGATTTACAAAGTTTTGGTGCTTGTTTTTTGTGTATCCCGATTAACGATTAACGATGCATCAATTTTTTCAAGACTGGGTTTGACTTTGCTTCACTAACTCACTCTTTTAGAACTTCTAAATTTAAGATTTTGATTTGGTTTACAGAAACTTTTTATATTTTTAGACTTTTAAAAGGTTTTACGACAATATGAGAAGGGTCCAACGATTTAAATTAATCTATGGGTCCAACTATTTGAATTAATCTATGGGTCCAACTATTTGAATTAATCTATGGGTCCAACTATAGTAATTAATCTATTGGTTCAACTATTTTAATTAATCTATGGGTCCAAATATTTAAATTAATCTATGGGTCCAACTATTTGAATTAATCTATGGGTCCAACTATAGTAATTAATCTATGGGTTCAACTATTTTAATTAATCTATGGGTCCAAATATTTAAATTAATCTATGGGTCCAACTATTTAAATTAATCTATGGGTCCAAATGTTTAAATTAATCTATGGGTCCAACTATTTGAATTAATCTATGGGTCCAACTATTTAAATTAATCTTTGGGTCCAACTATTTAAATTTGTATTCTGTAGAAGTTTGCTTTTCTCAAAAATGCAAGTTTGTTTTCCCAAGCCAAAAACGATCGTTTTAGAACGATCGTTTTTGCCTTATATTTTCTTCTAATATAACAAATTTGCATGTTTGATAAAAGCAAACTTCTACAGAATAATGTTTTAAAATGTTGAGACCTTCTCATATTGACGTAAAACCTTCTAAAAGTCTAAAACATCTTGCTATTGCCCATCCCTAATTTTTAATTTTCATAGATTTTTTCGTAAAAATTTGTAGCCNGGTGTTAGCAAAAAAGTATTATTAAGATTGACTTATGCAAAATTCAGTAGAGTTAGACCCCCCAACCCGGCACTTTATACTTATTTGGTCATTCTATAAAAAGGGAATATTTTACATTATCTTTTTTACATATCATGAATATTTTTTTTGCATTTAACAACCCTTCTTTAGCTTTTCATCTTTTTTATCCAGTGTTTTTTAAAACGTTTTAAAACTGATTTTAATGGTTATTAAGAGGGTCCACCTACTACCTAGTAAGAAAGACCGAAAAATGCCTTTTAAAAAACGTCTGCTTTATTTAATTTGTTGTGGTATAACACATACAAAAATATATATTTTTTTTTAAAGAATCATTTTACGAATAACATTCAGAAGTTGGTACATTTGATGAGTTGAAACAAAAAATGCAGATGTAATAAAAATAAAATAAAATCTAATTATATCAATCTTGGTCAAAACTCCTACCACCGAAAAATCATCTAATGTTACGGCTGAGAGCCGAGAGGTTTAATTTGTATGTTTAAATTTTAGTTTTAATGTTATTCCATTTAAATATCATCTTGAAAACTTAATAAAAATAAAATAAAATCTAACTATATCAATCTTAGTCAAAACTCCTACCACCGAAAAATCATCTAATGTTACGGCTGAGAGCCTAGAGGTTTAATTTGTATGTTTAAATTTTAGTTTTAATGTTATTCCATTTAAATATCATCTTGAAAACTTCGACAAAAGACAACAATAAAAATCTTCTCAAAATTAAAAATTGTGGTTCCGGAGGAAGGGTGTAGAACAATCCCCCTCCACCGAACCTCTTGTTATATAACTCTGTCGTTGTTTGAACTTCAGCTTCAGTAACCATTATTGTTTAATCCGTAGAAAATCATGTAAGCAGAACCAGGCTTGCTAGAGCTCTAGCAGTTGAACAGAAGACCTGGAGTAAGCAGCTTCATGAACTAAACCTTCTCAGTGTATCAGGAGGCCTGGAGTAAATACTAAATCTATCCAATTGCTCTAAAAATAAAACCGGTGCTTCAATAGCCCAGGGACATGGAGTAAAATATTCTTTAAAAAAACTACATTATGGTAGTTTGTTTGCTGTTAAAATCTAGTGTTAAATTCAAAACAGTGAGATCCAGAGCATAATATACAAGGATACAAGGATACAAGGATACAAGGATATAGAGACACAAGGATACAAGGATACAAGGATATAGAGATACAAGGATACAAAGAGTACATACTGATGTTCTATTTAAGGATACACGAAGCGCTGAACGGAAAGGATTAAAGAACTCTTGGTAAGAAATTAAAATGACAAGCTCCCAGCCTATCAAACTTTACACCTCCCCCACCTATCCCTTTTACCCCCCCCCCCTCACTATCCGTTCTATTGTTTTATCTCCTCTCTCTATTGATCACATCTCATACTAGTTAAAATCTATCAAATATCTAACAACAGACGTTTTTTTTATTCTTTTTCAAGTCATCTTCGCTAGTATCTGTATTATTATCTATATATAAAGTTGTAATCTCTGTTTGGGTGTCCAATCATAGCTCAGGAACCTCTGGACCAATTTGACTCAAAATTTTATTGGGAAATTAGGGAGACCCACGGGAATGATCTGAGCTAAAATCTTTATTTAAGACCAAGTGCTGATAAACGGTGGAAGTAACTATGAGTAACCTGGACAACGCTGGGTTCCCAAGCTAGAATAGTAAAGAATACAAAAAAATTCTATTTTCAGGTTCAAAAGAACTAAATTTTTGTCACAAACTCTGATTTTTAATAGACCTTTCATATTTCAAACTATAAAATATGTTTTGAAATATCAATGGTTTACACCATCAAGTTGCAAAAATATAAGGATTTAAAAATTGAGTTAGTGGCAAAAACTCAGTTTCTTAGTAGAATGCAGATTAATTAAAATTTTCCAAAAAATATTCTGCAGATTAATTTCTCTGTATTGGTTCTGTACTGTAGAATACAGATCAATTTTTCTATCTAGGTTCTATACTATAGAATACAGATCAATTTCTCTATATAGGTTCTATACTGAAGAATACAGATCAATTTCTCTATCTAGGTTCTATATTGTAGAATATAGATCAATTTCTCTGTCTAGGTTCTATGCTGTAGAATACAGATCAATTTCTCTATATAGGTTCTATACTGAAAAATACGGATCAATTTCTCTATCTAGATTTTATACTGTAGAAAACAGATCAATTTCTCTATATAGGTTCTATACTGAAGAATACAGATCAATTTCTCTATCTAGGTTCTTTAAAGTAGAATACAGATCAATTTCTATATCTAGGTTCTATACTGTAGAATACAGATCAATTCCTCTACAAAGGTTCCAAACTGTAGAATACTGATCAATTCCTCTACAAAGGTTTTATACTGTAGAATACTGATCAATTCCTCTACAATTGTTCCATACTGTAAAATACAGATCAATTTCTTTATCTAGGTTATATACTGTAGAATACAGATCAATTATCTACAAGGGTTCCATACTGTTGAATACATATAAATCTCTATATCTAGGTTGTATACCGTATAATACAGATCAATTTCTATATCTAGGTTCTATACTGCAGAATACAGATCAATTTCTGTATCTAGGTTCTATACTGTAGAATACAGATCAATTCCTCTACAAGGGTTCCATACTGTTGAATACAGACTAAAAATTTCGACACTCAATATTTCTGAAATAAGATTTGATCAGATGTTTCTTATTGAAAAAGTTTTTTATCCTCATGGCGATTTTAGCAGACTTTTCTTTTGTAATTATCAAGATTAGTTGTTATCCGACAAAGTTTATTTGTTGTGGGTATCCTGGGGTATGTTGATGACGGAAATGAAATGAAGGATATATAAATATCTATATTGTTAAATCTAACGCCTATTGTTCGCTACCTATTGTCAAGAAACATGCCAATTAAGTTGCTAATCTAATTTGTAGATATTAGATATGTAATATTTTATTAGATAGATTTAAAGTAATTGTATGATGGTTTTTTCAAAGGAACTTATTGCCCGTCAGAATCTCTAATTTTTTAATCCTTACATCTTTGTAGCCTGATGCTCACCACAATTTCAAAAGAAGTAAATATTTCCATTTACTGATAGCACCGATTGAAGGATTCAAAACTCTGATTGGACAATGAGATAGATAGAAAGATAGATGTTACCGCCATACTATTTCCATTGGTTCAGAATAGACAACAAACACATGACTGAATCCTGATTGGATCAGGGGCTAATGGAGTGTGCTTGATATTTCCAAATAAAAATGCTGCGAAATCAAATAGCCTAAGTTTGAAGTATTGAGAGTTTTAACCATCAGAGCTGAAAACTTTAGAATTTGATACCCATAATCCTGAGCTGAAAACTTTAGAATTGGATACCCATAATCCTGAGCTGAAAACTTTAGAATTGGATACCCATAATCCTGATCTGAAAACTTTAGAATTGAATACCCATATACATTCAATAAAAGTATATTCTTTTTAACAAAATCTAATATTAAAGTAGCATTGGATTAACTTGAACTAAATGTGTTAAAAAAGGGGTTGGTTTATATTTTTGGCAAATATGTTGGGGGTGCCAAGTATGAAACATAAAATTTTACCTCTAGCAATTATTCTTGAAATATTTTCCTGATTTAAGTTTAACTTTAAGTCAAAACACTAAATATATTAATTCTAATTTTCCCAAATAGACACACAAAAAGCTTTTAAAATAGATATCAATTTACAAATATTAACTTTTGAATATTTTTCAAAAACATTTATCAATAGGGGCGAATTAAATTTTGTTCAGCCGTTTGTTCATGTTTTCAAAGTAACTAGAATTAAATTTTCAATATTTTGTACCTGTCGCAATAGTAAAATAACACGAACAACTCCTTTAATGTTTGTGAATAATGAAGGTTCAATTATGCATTTCGTTGAAACCATGTTTTAAACCTTTTCAAATAATTCCAGTGTGTATTCTAGGTACGGAGAAGATGAGAGTGGTGTGTCCTGGAACTGGCAATCTCCTAAACCATACTCCGGGTATACTCCTACACCTAGACCATACTTTCCTCCATCCTACTCACCCTCTGCTCCTGAGCTAGAAACTAGTCTTACCAATCCAGATCTACCCTCTCCTCATCCATCCCCTCATCCTTCTCCAGGCCTACCACGAGGCAAGGAAGGCTGGGAACGACGAGGAAGTGACGGCAGTTGCATCACTCGAACCACCAGATATTCTCCGAGCTCCGGGTTTATTACCGAGGTTAGCACAACCAACTCTCCTCCTTCCTCTCCATCCAGTTCCTCGCCACCTCGAACCAGATCCTCTAAATATTATCATAATCCTGCACAATCTAGACTAGAAAATTCTAGATCTAACTCCTCTCCCTCCTCCTCTTCCTCCTCCTCTTGTGACTGTATCCAAGTGATTAGCTCCTCCCCTGTAGATAAACTTGAGGAGAAAAATAACTTCAACTACAGCTATACAACACTGCCAAGGTTAGTCAAAGTTATGATTGGAGCCTTTTCCCTTCTTTGACCTTAGAAATTTATTATCTCCGGTAATTATGAAAGCACAAAAATGGCATATATCCCATATATATCCCATTCTAAAGTTTTCAACTCTAAAACAATACAAGAACTGTATTTTCTGTTCTAACTAAGGACTTGTTAATTTGTTATGCATCCAAGCCGTCTCTTGTAATTGTTTAATAAGCAGAAACCATTTAAATAACTTGCAAAGCAATCTTATTTAATCTCCGTTATTTAGCATACTTCCTGTCTAGTGTTTACCCTTTGTCAACAATATCAGATTTGTTTATATTTAAATTTGTTGTGTTTGCCTGGTTTAAAATAAGTCCAGTGTCTCCAGAATAAAGTGGAATGAAAAATACGTTTAGTTCCAAAATATATTCTGTAATACATCGTTATCTTTTAAACTGATTTAGTTCTTCCATAGCAATTTTAAAGTGAATACATGATACATTCCTTACAACAAGTTGTATACCGTATAATACAGATCAATTTCTCTATATAGGTTCTATACTGAAGAATACAGATAAATTTCTCTATCTAGGTTGTATACCGTATAATACAGATCAATTTCTCTATCTAGGTTCTATACTGTAGAATACAGATCAATTTTTCTATCTAGGTTCTATACTATAGAATACAGATCAATTTCTCTATATAGGTTCTATACTGAAGAATACAGATTATATGGATAAACATTGCATCGCCCCGCATTTTTAAATCCTCCTTTATATGTAGTTCCTGTGTTCAGGATGGGAGGAATGAAAACTATTGATATGAACAGAAACGAAATTGGAGGTTTGGTATCTCTAGACCCTAGTTTTGTTCGACAGATTGCTGTGGTTAGTAGGACGGGAAGCCTTCTCTCCCTCTCATCCTCCCATTCGAATTTAATCAGGTTGAAAACTTGCAAAGAATTGATGCAGAGAACCATCTTTTAAAACTGAATGCTGTGAACAATTCACAACAGTACCTTTTATTACAAATATTGTCGTTGTTTTGGGAGTAATCTTGGCCATTTTCTGGCTCATCTGAAGAAGAAGAAAAAAACTATGATTATAATTTCTAGAAATATGGGATAAGAGGGAACAATCCTTAATCGTCAATCAAATCTTTGAAAAATATAAAATTTCGCTTTTTTGGTTTTAGAATAACATTTTTCTTAGGGCTGAGGCTGTAAACAATGTGTTCAATGATTTCAAGAAAGAGAAAAACCATTTTCAAACTTCGTCCGAATATAGTTCCAACCAGATCAACAATAAGAGGGACCGTGAGCCAAGGTTACCGGGCACCTGGAGCTCCCCGGTCATCTCCAAGCACAACCAGTTCGTCTCTAATATCCAGTTTGGGAGCTGGAGCCTGGAAAGGAAGGGTGAGGAGCAGCAGAGCTCCCAACTTGACTCCTTGGTTTCAAACTCACTGCTGGATTTCACCAAACCAAACCTTGCTCTTCGTAACGAAGGAATCAGTCCCAAAAAAAAGCATTTTCCACCAAATTTGATTTTTTTCCGAAATATACAGTGAGACCAACAAAACTGTGGAATTAAAAGACGACTGACAGACTCAAATTATGATCTGGCCCAATTGACAGAAATTGTACATCGAGTACATAAATTCATTTAATTTTATTGATTGTCAACCTATTGGTAAGATTAATTACCTAAAGAACATCGAGATTGATTAGATGTCATCTTCCTTCTCCGTAGTTTTGGGGTCTCACTTTATCTATATTATGTATAAATTTGGCTTGTTTGTCTGTCTGTTTGTTTGTCTGTTTGTTTGTTTGTATTCAATAAACGTCAAAACGGCTGAACCGATCGGGCCCAAATTTTTTGTGGGACATCTAGGGAGCCCAGGGAAGGTTTATGAATCATCAAAATTTCAAATATTTGTCTCTATCAAAATTCGATCGTCATTAAATTTTTTAAAATTTTGAAAATCCGCGAAATTTTTTGTGAAAATCCGCGAATTATTTTTGTTTTGTTTTACGATGTACACAAAGAGAACATGTTCACAATTAATTTAGAAGATGGGCGCGAAGCGCCTTCTAAGGCTAGAAAGAAGGGCGCGAAGCGCCTTGAATTTCTAGTTATCTATATTATGTATAAAGTTTTTTTATTTTTCTGTCTGTCTTTAGATTGAGTAGATTGACTTTTACAGGGACAATTCTTTTTTCAGACAAAGCGCGCTAGTACATATTTTCTAAATCAAGATAATGTTAGGACTGATAGGACTTATAGGAACTGCTCCTAACCTCTCTGCCACTGTTCTGGACACCTCGGAGGATTTAAACAATCTTTACAGGACAATCTCAAGGAAGAGAATTCTAAACAAGGTTAATCTTTTAGATTTACAGGGTTATCCACAAATAATGAGACTTCAGAGACGACTGTACGAAATTTTTATTTTGTGTTTCCTTATGTTTATTAATCTCTTTAACTGTAATCAATAAATAAACCATCTAAAAATTATATCTAAGAATTTACTTAACCTGGAGATCGGCATATTTTTAGAGATTTAGGTCGTCTTTACAGTCTCATTCTGTGTGAGTAACCGTGTATTTAATTTGTTAGACTTATTTGACTTCCGTTGGATAATGATTTAAAAGATTGGTTGCTTACCTATTGAATCGCTCTGATACTCTTTTTATATTGGCAAACCTTGCTTACAAACGCTCAAGTATTGATTTTAAATAATTTGTTTTTTGGGAGTTGTTTTTGCATGCAAATCTTTGTGTAAAATCATGCAATTTGCAAATATGAATTAAATTTGCATTATGTAATCAAATGAATGTAAATCCTATCTATATATCTGTATTTTGTATAAAGAAAATAATAATTTATTTTTTATATTAATGTTACGTATTGATTTACACAAAACTCTTTGTCATTGTATCTATTAAATGTCAAATAAAACAGGTATCACATGCTATATTAAATCTGAATCAGAATTATTAGTTATTAGATTTTCTAATATATAAATCTGTGTTTTAAACTGTAAGAAGAAACACTTTATAATAAAGATTTATTCAGTGGCATGTCCGATTCACAACGGTACCGATTAAACCTTATTATGATCTTTAATTACGGAGAAATTCTTATTTACAGTCTGATAATAAGGAATTCTTCCTCCTCGATGATCATACAAAGATATGTTGTGCATCACAAATGCCACTCTAAAAATGAAGGTTCACTTTAAAATTTGTAAACCGTCCCTTTAAGCTATCTATCTATCTGAGTAATTTTGTTGAAGATGATTTGTAATCTAGGTTCAATGTTCTAACTTCCATCTCCATGACGATGATGAAGAATGTTCCCATCATCATTCCCAGCAGTTCCATGATGCTGTTCTTGATCCTAGAGTTCATGGACTAGGTGGGATGGGTCCTGATGGGCTAGCCCGGCCCCTGGCTCGCCTTATTGCCAAGATGCATTCTACTAGTTCCTATGAAAATACATATGCTAGGAACAGGATATTATGGTTTTTAAATTCGACAAAAAATCTATTTTTTATACGAAGCAGTCAATTTTCATTTAAAGTACCAAAGAAATACTAATTTTTATGGAAATTATGGCAAAAAATGGTTCATAAAATAATTATCTAAATGAAATAACATCCTGCTGAATACAGTTTAAACTCTGAGACCCTGTACACTAGTTTAACTCGAAACGATGATGAGAATAACAACATGGCGTCCGATAAAAACAATATGGCCGCCAGCAGGGAAAACGTGAACGATATCAAAACGGCAAAACAGGGGAAACATGAGAAACAAAATGGAGGTAAAAATGGCGCCGGTTGTTGCCCCGTTCTTCTCTCAAGCTTAGCAGCTAGCCAGGTGAAATAAATTATGAATTAGAAAATATTAAAATCTATTTAAATTGATAATCATTTTATCTTCTTTTATATTTCAGGCTGAAACAAAGTGCCACGCCATGGCCGGTTGTCCTGACTGTTTAGAGTACAGCACTGCCCTCCACCAATCCCTGCCACGCCTTCTAGGTCCAGCAGAGCAAGATGCTCAGTGCAAACTACACGGATATGTAAGTTTAACCGAGTTTACAGTGACACTTGAGGTCATTAAGAATTCACAGCGGATGTAATTTATTTTACTAAACATGATGTAGAATATTTTTTTCTGTCTAGAGTTCAGCCATTTTGGTTTTTGCCTTTGTATTAGAAGTTTCTTAATTTAAGAGTTTTTAATTAGGGATATTAATCGCTAATCGAGAGTTAGGTTCTGAATCCGTGTATAGTCCCACGCACTATATGCATTCCAAAAAAAAATGCAAAAAATCCTTTAAATTTCTTTTTATCAAAAGTTTATTCACAAAAAGTGTCAAAAAATAACTAGGACAAAAAACTATAGCCCCCAAGCCTGTTTAGGGTTGAATAAAGATTTTAAATTCCTTTACCAAATAATAAAAAGAAAGTTATTTCATTACTTTTTATCTAACTACCTCTTGTTTGGAGTCCTTACCGCATATCCATATATATAAAGTAGTAATCATGTTTGTTGGTTTGGATATATGTTGAACCACCCTGTACACAATTTTTTAACCAACCTGTACACACTTTTTGAACCACCCTGTACACACTTTTTGAACCACCCTGTACACAATTTTTAAACCACCCTGTACACAATTATTGAACCAACATTTACATGTACACAATTGTTGAACCACCCTGTACACAATTTTTGAACCACCCTGTACACAATTGTTGAACCACCCTTTACACAATTGTTGAACCACCCTGTACACAATTGTTGAACCACCATGTACACAATTTTGAACCACCCTGTGCATAACTTTTGAACCACCCTGTACACAATTTTTTTGAACGACCCTGTACACATTTTTGAACCACCCTGTACACACTTTTTGAATATGCGTTAAGCTTTATGTATGTATAAGTGCACGTAAAGCGGTGTGTGTAGTCAGGCGTACACAATTATATAATTCATGTTATTTTAAAATTTAATTGATAACATACATAATCAGATAGATATGCAGACTGAACACTAGCTGTATAAACATCCATGGTATAAACTGCATATAATGCATCATAAACTGTAAATAATGATGGGCATAAACATCTGAGAAGTTCCAACATTTCAAAACTGTATTCTATAAAAGTTTTTTTCTTTAATTTTGAAATATTTCTGACCTAAAAGAAAATGTTTGAAAAATTTAACCCAAAAAATATTGTTTTTGCGTAAAGGCAGGCTCTCTGCTCTTCCAGTCGGATCGCTTTACGTACGAGGGTACAAGAGCATCGGGAAACCCGTCGGTCGAGGGGTGCAATCTAATTTTTAAAAAAATATAAAATGTTGATTAAACATTAATTTATAAAATGTGGGTAAAACATTAATATTAACATCTCAAGGTTATAATTTGGTATTGTTAGCAAATGTTTGAAATGAATAATGTAGAAAGGAATTGAGTCTTTGCCACAAACTCTGATTTTCTAATCCCTATATCTTTGCTACCCAATGTCTTAGATATTTCAAAATATGCATTGATTTAGATCAAATAATATAAGTTTGAAATAGCAAAGGTTTACACCATCAGGTTGCAAATATATAGAAATTTGAAAATACGAGTTTGTGAAAAAGGCTCAACTCCTTTGAAAGCTTTTCAAATTTGTTTTAAACCTGTTAAAAGTCCAAAAATGTTAAAATTAACCAGGTTATTTACTATCATTATATGAGGTTAACGATACAATTGGTATATTTTACAGCATACTGTACATACATCTAAATATGTACTGAACTTTAACACTAAATATACATGTGTATAATGTGTATACAGTGTTCTCAAACTAAATATGCATGTGTATAATGTATATACAGTATTCTCAAAATATACATGTGTATAATGTGCATTCAGTATTCTCAAACTAAATATACATGTGTATAATGTGTATTAAGTATTCTCAAACTAAATATACTTGTGTATAATGTGTATTCAGTATTCTCAAACTAAATATACATGTGTATAATGTGTATACAGTGTTCTCAAACTAAATATACATGTGTATAATGTGTATTCAGTATTCTCAAACTAAATATACATGTGTATAATGTGTATACAGTATTCTCAAACTAAATATACATGTGTATAATGTATATACAGTGTTCTCAAACTAAATATACATGTGTATAATGTGTATACAGTATTCTCCAACTAAATATGATCATTAAAAGACGACTGCAAGTATAATATTCAATATGCATGAAGGGCTTTCATTAGAAATAAAATTTAGTGAATTTACTCGAATAGAAAATTTTGCACAAAATAAAAGTACTATATTTTAAGTTTATACTTAAATGTCCATAACACTATTTATTTTTATTTTCGTTATTATTTAATCCTCTGTTAGACGCCTGAATATTTTTTGTTTTGTTTTTAGTCTGATCCTGAGCTGGGGCTGTACCCCCCTGGAGTATACGGTTGGCCTAGAGGAGGCCAGGTGGTAATCAAGGCCCCACTCACCAGGAGGAAGGAGGGAAGGATCGTCTGCTACCTCGCCGGGGTCATCCTCGCCATCCTCGCTCTTGTCGCAGTCATCGTTGTCCTCACCCTTATGGTGGCAAACAAAGAGATGGAAAAAGTTGAAAGCTTCTAGATTCCAGAAGCTTCTATGAGGCCACAAATGACACTTCCCCCCCCCCTGACATTTTTATAATTTTAGACAGAAACCTATTTTTCATATATTCTTAAAAATAAAAAATAAAGGGCTAAAAGGTGCCTATTATCTCTCTTGTGTCCCTAATTTCCCAGGGGGGGGGGACGTCCACCCAATTTTTCTGGGGGACGTCCCCCCCCTTTCTGAATCCGCCTCTGTTATACGGCAAAATTTGTTGGTCATTTTGTCACAACTTGTGAATTATATTTTAAGTCAACAAACAGCCGGCAAAAGTGCAAACTGCATTTAAGATTTAAAAATAATATAGATATTTAAATTAATATTTAATATATTTAATATTTAATAGTTTTATATGTGAATCATGTGAATTGAATGGCATTAGAATATGTGTAAATTATTATATTTATATGAACATAATATATTCATGAAATAAAGTATTTATATCAAACATGTTTCGTGTTTAATGGAACTGTAAACATAATTTCAAGTGAACCACTATTGATAAAACTGTCATGTCCGATTTTCAACTTGGAACCCTTTAAACCTTTGCCTGATAAAAAGGGTAATAACATCATTTCTCTAGCTAAAAAAAAAACTGACTAATTTTAGATCGGGGTTCTCTGAAAATACACTGGTGGATTTTTGTTGCGATAAAGAAAAACGACGATTTTTTCCGTAATTTAGTAACTTAGATATTTGGTAAGGTTCAAGAGTACCGTTTTAAATCAAGAACATGTCATCACTCTTTAAATAAAGGAGCTGCACTTGGAATTATGTTTAAATTAAAAAATTGTCGAGTTTAGTGTATTTGATGAAAGTAACGGGATTCCATTAGAAAAAGGTCTGAAAAATCAATGAAATGTTCACATCAAGAATTTGTCCTGGGGAGGGGAGGGGGGGGGGGGTAGTATAACCTTATCACTAATTTAACAACAAACAAACAAAAAATTACATTTATTAATAAGAACAAAATAATACAAATAAAAAAGTAAGTAAAAAGAAACTGATAAAACGGGATTTGATTTTAACATTTGATTAATTAGATACAATCGTTTAAATATCATTCACATCAATGTGGATTAAACATTAATATATAAAATGTGGATTAAACATTAATTTATAAAATGTGGATTAAACATTAATATATAAAATGTGGAATAAACATTAATTTATAAAATGTGGATTAAACATTGATATAAAATGTGGATTAAGCATTAATTTATAAAATGTGGAGTGAACATTAATATTAACATCTATAGACGAACATACATTTTTCCCAGAAATAAAATATTACAAAAATTTAAAACGAGCTTCCAACACAAATTCGTAGAAAACCACAGGGAAAAAAATGTTTTTTTACAACCATTTATTGATAGGTTCAAGATTATATTAAAGATTCGGGATAATAATTTCGGTTTCTTCATTTTGAATTCGATCACGTTTTGGTTTATAATTCATCAATCTTAAAACTTGGTTTTTTGAAATTTTTTATTGAAAACGCATTCGCCGAAAAAAATCTAAAAGAGTAAAAGCGAAAAGTGGACTGAGTTTTGGACACAAACTTAAATTTTCTAATCCTTATATCAACAGAACCATATGGTGTACATTGTACATCTTTGATATTTTAAACCTTCAATCTAATTGCAGAATTCATAGTTTGGAATATCAAAGGCCAACTAGTTCCAGAGATAGGGGTTAAAAAATGTGTGGCGAAACTCAGTTCCTTTATGTTTATTAGGTCAAATAGGGACTTGACTAAGGTAGCTGAACTTTGCAAAGATATGGCGATTTTAAAATTAGAGTTTGAGGAAAGAGGTCAGTTCTTTTTTCCATATTTTCATAGTAATATCATTATCATATAGGGTGCAGAGGAGTTTAAGTAGAGTTAAGTTATATTAGTATTCTGCTTATATGGGGGTTAGCAGAGGTTTCCTCACGTTTTCATTACTATCACTAGGTTCTAACGTATCCTCAAGTTTTTCACGCTGGGCAGCAACCTGAACAAATATTACAAAAATAGAAAATATTAGTTGGCATTTATTTGGTATTTATATAAGTAACAAAAAACGTAATACTTTTACAATTTATATCAATCTTTGGAGGGAAAATTTAATCCTTTCTTGTTTTTACGTGTGGCAGCTTTCTAGAAATCTCTTTAAGTTTGCTTTTAATTACATTATGCATGAAAGATAATATCATGTTATAAGATAATAAAGGAAATGAGTTTTTGCAATAAAATCTTATCTTCTAATTTTTATATCTTCTCAACCAAATGTCGTAGACCTTAGATATTTCAAACTATGCATTCTGTTAGATCAAAAAGTCTAAGTTTGAAATATCAAATGATTACGCTATTAGGTTGAAAAGAAATAGAGGTTTAAAAATTTGAGTTTGTGGAAAAGACTCAATTTCTTTAGAAACCGAAACTCAAACATTCATCAATGAACGGTTTTAAAAGTCTCTTGAATGCCAAAAACATTTAATTACAATAAATTCATAAATACTAAAAAACGATTTAAGTATTTAATTTTTTGAAGTAGAGAAACATTGAGATGGTAATTATCATGTAATTTCAAATACAAAGAATCTTTTGTTTATCTTATTTTAAAATTGAATGCTCCTTACGTGGCATTTTTTTTATTTTGTAAAATTTCTCCTTATACATGGAAAAAAGGCATAAACAAAAAATAAAAGGGAGAGTTTGAGTCATTTTGATAACTCGTTTGTCATATAAAAAATAAAACAAAATTTGATTAAACCAAACACAATTTTGATATATAATTAACACCTTAGATTACTGTTGAGACTCTGAGAGTCTAAAAGGTTTTTAAACCAAAAAAACTATGTCCTTCTATATACCTGTGCCACTAGTTCAGTAATAAACTATGTCCTTCTATATACCTGTGCCACTAGTTCAGTAATAAACTATGTCCTTCTATATTCCTGTGCCGCTAGTTCAGTAATAAACTTTGTCCTTCTATATACCTGTGCCGCTAGTTCAGTAAAAAACTATGTCCTTCTATATACCTGTGCCGTTAGTTCAGTAATAAACTATGTCCTTCTATATACCTGTGCCACTAGTTCAGTAAAAAACTATGTCCTTCTATATACCTGTGCCACTAGTTCAGTAAAAAACTATGTCCTTCTATATACCCGTGCAACTAGTTCAGTAATAAACTATGTCCTTCTATATACATGTGCCGCTAGTTCAATAATAAACTATGTCCTTCTATATACCTGTGCAGCTAGTTCAGTAATAAACTCCCCCAGTACAATAGGAGCCATATTGTAGGATAACACATTCAGCAGCTTCCAATCCCCTAGTTCTAACTCCTTACTGATACTATTCATACTCTGCTGAATTCCAGCTCTTTTCCTAAATATCACAAATATAATCTGACGGAAGAGTTTTAAAGGGACTGTAAACTTAATTTTACGTGACACTCTATTTATAAAGTGTCACATTCGAACCTTTATCTGAGCAACAATGAGAAAGATATGATATGTTCTGTCTGAAAAGGGATGAATTCTGATAACAATCTTATTTCTCTCTCGGTTTAAGAAGGAATTGTCACAAACTGTTATTTTCTAATCCCAATATCCTTTGAAATCCAATGTCTTAGATATTTTAAACTGTGAATTCTGTTAGATCAAATAATCTATGTTTTAAATATCAAATGTTTAAACCATCAGATTCCAACAATATAGGGATTAGAACATTTGAGTTTATGGCAAAAACTCAATTCCTTTGCAAGTCACTGTTATAGAGAACCTCAATTAAAAATAGTCCATTTTAAGAAAGAAACAGAGAAAGAACTACATAAGTTTTGATCAGGAAAAGGTTTATTGTAAAAAGAGGGTAAAGAGGGTTTATATTTTGCTTGCTGTTCTCCTACCTTGCTTTCTTCTTGATCCATGTAGATACAAGAGCTGGTATGAGTATCTGTGCAGTATGGATCAGGATGGATATTGCGGTCAACGTCGCCAGAGCAATCAACCAGAACCAGAGGAACACGTAGATCTTCTCGTTGATCACGTTGATTGGAAGCAGGCACAAAGCATCATGGGTTTGTATTGTCCCGGAGCTTCCAAACTTTTTATAAATGCATTTTGTCATGCGAGGGAACACGCGGGTCATAGGGTCTGTTCTAACCATAGGGTCAGAGTCAACAAAAGAAGCCACCTTAAAAAATTGTAATTATGAAAAATAGATTGAATAAAAAAGTTAAACCTTTTTAACAAAGGAACTGAGTTCTTATACCACAAACTCAGGTTTGTTATCCCTATATCTTCGCAACATAATACGTCGTAGACGTTTGCTATTTCTAACTCTGAATTCTGTAAGATCAAATAGTTTAAGTTTGAATTATCAAAGATCCACACCACAGGTTGAAAAGATAAAGGGATTAGAGGACCATCAACCCCTTTTGATTTTTTCTTGAATTTCCTCAAAAAAATGTAATTTTAAGGTGGATTTAATGCGTCTATGCTTCTTGTTTATTAAGGAATTAAGTCTTTGACACAAACTCAATTTTTTAATCCCTATATAATCCCTACATCTTTACAATTTGATTTTGTAAATCTTTGATATTCAAATTTAGGTTTTTTCGATCTAACAGAATTCCTAGTTTACTAGTTACTAGTTACTATATAAGGTCGACGTTTAGAATTTTTGGCAAAGGCTTATTTCTTTTCAGTTTGAGAATATAAGTTTGGCAAAGGCTTAATTCCTTTTCAGTTAGAGAATTGTTTTTGCATGCTTTGTCAATTAGAATTTGTAAGAGAACTGCATATTTAACCTTTAGATATTAATATCCAAAGTGTTAATTAAAGTCTTATGCTTTGTGGGTGTAGTATTTTAAAAGCAAGCATTGTGATTAAAGATCAAATTTTTTAAAAACTTTTAAATATTTATTCCTAGTTTAAGAAAGTTAAGTCATCTGACGTAGTTCTGTTTTTACATAATCAGCATGCTGATCATAAACTTTGTGTTCCGAATTTCTCATTTTCCTTTTAAAGGAATTTAAAGTCTTTGCCACAAACTCAAATGTTTTTATCCCTATATCTTTGCCTCTATTAGTGTAAATATTTGATATTTTAACTTAGATTATTTCAAATATCAAAAGTCTGACTTTTTCAATCAAGTCGGTTTTCAGACCAACTCCCAATCCTTTCAAACATTGCTCTCCTTAATTGATTACATCTATATTTGCATCCAGGTATATCCCCCCCCCCCCTTTCATTTAAGGAACTTGTTAATAAAATCTTATCCACCTTCATAGCTTTTTACGGTTATTTAACTATCTTGAGCTCTCCTGGGACCTTTATAATAGGATTTCTCTCAACAGTTAGGTGAAATGTATTGTTTAAAGTTTATATTTGTATTTAAAAAGTGTGTTTACCTGAAAACCGTAAGTAGAAAACTCTCCGTCCAGGAAGAAGTCGATGAAGTAGATGTTGAAGATCACGTTGACAAGAAGCAGGAGGTCTGCCAGGTACAGCTTCAAGGCCCAGATGTTGTGAGTGTTCAAACTCTTCACAAAATATGTAGCCAAGGCTTTGTGCCTGTTGAAAGTAGGGTTTCTTTAATTCAGCCAAATAAACAGGTTTGATAGGGTGGTCGTCGTATACAACAATAAAATAAAGACGAATTTCTATTTTAAATTTTCATTTCTACCAAACAGCAGCAACGCTTAAACATTTAAACAAAGAGAAGTTGTCAATTAACAGCTTCTCTTTATGTGTTTACTTGTAAACTTGTAATTTGAAAATGTCAATTAACAAGTTCTCTTGATGTGTTTACTTGTAAACTTGTAATTTGAAAATGTCAATTAACAGCTTCTCTTGATGTGTTTACTTGTAAACTTGTAATTTGAAAAATGCCTGATCAAGGATCACAGCATTATCAATAAAATGTTGTTTTCATTGTATTGATATAATCGCCGACCACTTTTAAAGGAACGGAATGATGTTAATTTGGGCTGTAAAATATCTCTGATTGGTCAAAAAACTATATTTTTTTCACATGAGAATGAGTTAAACCCAATTTGTTCATCAAAAAGTTCACAGCTTAGTTTATATTGTTCCCCATTGATTCCGAGTAACACTTTATTTCCTCGATTCTGTAAGAATAAATATTCAAAAGAGCTAGTTTTTACACAGATTCTAAATTTGGTTTCTAATTTGTTCCGATTCAATTTGGTTCCGTAAAGACCTTACGAAACCTGTGTTGAGCTGGAAACTTTAGAATGGATAACCTTTAATCCCAAGTACTTAATCTGAATATCCACTGTGGAAACTTTTAATTTTAGCCCTTAATCCACTCTTTTTCTCTCTCTTTGGATATCCGTACATTGTTTTCTCCAATAAGAGTGCAGGAATATAGTTATTGACCAACAAAAGCCTTGAAAATAAATTCTATGCTATGAGAGAAATCCGCAATTTCTAACAAATAAAGAATTTGTTTTTCGGACATTTTGTAAATTAATCGGCGAAGAAAATATTTAATAATAAGTTTGAGATTCTTTTTTAGCCAATTTTAACCAATCTTTTAATAAATAAATGGGTAAGAAATTAAGTGAATGCCCTTCCAGTCAAGAAAACGTACAAATCTGGCGTTCCTAGAATCAAATTTGTTGATCTAAATATTTAATTTTGAGACCAACATAATGTAGAGATTATGTTAGTCTCGAGATTAGCAAAAAGAGAGGATCAAGCATTAATCCTGATATCCACCATTCTAAAGTTCCCAGCTCTGAACCTATTAAGAGTGATAAACCATCACCTAGATACTGCTAGGTATAACCTGCTGAAAAGTTTAAAGAACCATGAGTAATTCCATATCTAATAACCGTCCTGTAAACTTTTTCAGCATTTCGTACCTTTTAGGGGCAGATTTAATTTAACTGAGGTGAAAACTTTAGAATGGTGGATATCGAGATTAATGCTTGATCCTCTCTTTTTCTTAATATCGAAACTAACCTAATCTTGTACTTGTATCCTGAAAAGTGTATAAAATTCAACCAATCAGAGTCGCGTATGTGAGGCCAATAAATTTGAAATTTTGCGCGCCATTTAATATTAATATACAGTTTCTCTTATTTTTTAAAACCGGTTTTTAAGTTTTCTCTAATATATCCAAGAAAGAACGGTTTAAGAGGAAATCAAAAGTGTGTCCAACTCAGATTAAGTAATCGGGATTAGGGATATCTCATTCTAAAGTTTTCTGCTCTGGTTAAGCAAGGTTTCGCTCTCAATGTCCAAAAATGTTTAATGATTTACCATGCTTAATTTTTTCAGGAAAGGTTCCGTAATCCGTTAGGCTTTTGATCCGGGAAAAAGGAAATCCAAATCCAAAGGTATTACATGTAGTGTTCATTTTATGAACTAAAAGCCCTTGCCTTGTTATTCTCTCCTCCTCCTGTACTAATGCCTCTGATTGATGAAGACCGGAAATAATTCCGTTCACTTTCCCGGATTCCCAAGTTTTGAAGAGCATATGAGGAACATAAAACATACAGCACTGTAGGAACAATACGAATGGAACCCACTAGATATATAGAAACATTGATCACCAAATAGATTTTACACAGGGTTTCAACTGCAAGTGCAATTGCGAGCCTTTTATTTCAGCGCAATTCCAAGCAGTTCCGCGTAATTGCGCTCAACGGAATTCTAATTGGTACCCCTAACTCTACACTATTTATAACGAACTAACAGACTCATTTTGAAACAAAGATAAAAATAATGAAAATATTTCACAACTTCAAATACCCCTAATATTATGTTCTTAATTTCTAACAAACAGTTGGAAGTTTCGAAAACCAAAAAAACATACATTCTGCATAAGTTATCAAATCTTTAGAAAGTAAAAAACGAGAATATTTTCAGAATTTTTGCTTTGACAAAGATTTTTTAAGGGTTCCGTTTAAAATCGAGCCTGTCCCTCTTGAAGTGAAATGTCACTTAAAAATTACGTCTGCTGGTAGTTCCCTTCAAATTAATTTTCAAGATAGTACTTGGATTGGTTTTTTGCACCCCAAGATATTTAAAGATTAATATCTTTAAAGGGAGTGACCGGCTATGTAAGGTAGTTGAACTGAGTATGCATTGTTGTGGAAAACTTTTTTCGGATTCATTTGAGACATATTAAACTTTTTAAAGATCTGTAAATCCTGAGTTTGAGCTCAAATTCGATGTTCAAAACTCCTACTTTGGGGTGGATACGTTTTCAGAATTATTTTTTTTCAATTATTAAATAACGACGACAAAAAATGTAAACAAAACTCTACATACAGTAAACTAATTAGTTGTTTCAGAACCGGATAAGAAAATAAAAACTAATCTAATAATCGAAAATAAATAATCTTGTTCAATAATTGATTCTAGCATTGATTTATTGACAAATATGTTCCCAACCATCTAATAAGATTATTGTATGATTTTTACTTTATTTTTGTCGTCGTTATTTAGTAATTTAAAAAAAAAATATTTTGAAAACGTCTACCACTAAAGTAGGAGTTTTAAACGTCGAATTTGCACTCTAACTCAGAATTTACAGATCTTTAAAAAGTTTAATATGTCTCAAATGAATCCGAAAGAAGCTTTCAACAGCACTGCAACTACTTACATAGCCGGTCACTCCCTTTTAAGAAAATTAATAGCAAAGCCTTCAGAATAGAAAACTTAAAATCCTAAAATGGTGATATTAAAACTTTTGTTTTTTTAAGATTGATATTTTTGTTGATGAATGTTCTGCCTGATAATATGATTTATATTCTCTATCCTCTCCAACCTGCTCCACCCCTACTCCAGGATACAGTTTACCCCCTAAACTCAAATATATAAATATGATTTATATTCTCTATCCTCTCCTCCCTGCTCCACCCCTACTCCAGGATACAGTTACCTCCTAAACTCAAATATATAAATATAACAGCAAAGTTGTGTTTTCCAAGATTAAGATGGTTTAGCAGTGGAACAATCTAAAGGAATCTCTGGTTGGAAAGCGTATGTAAAACCATACCTGGTTGAGAGCAAGTTTTGGTTTGGGGTTCGGGAAAGCTGCTGGGAGTCCAAGAGAGGGAGAATTGTTTGTTATGCAACAAAATGCTTCCATGCAATATAGATATGCTGTAAGAAGGCTGAATAGGGCTAAATGTTCAACATAAAGGAACTGAGTCTTTACTACAAACATAAGTTTTCTAATCCTTTTATCCTTGCAGCCTGCTGGTGTAAACCTTTGATATTTCAAACTTAAATATTTTGATATAGCAGAATTCATAATTTGAAATATCTGAGGCATACAAAATTGGGTTATAAAGATATAGGAATTTGAAAATAAGAGTTTTTGGCATTAATTCCTTTACTTAAAAATATCCAACACCTAAACCGTTAGGCTTAAACAGACGTGGGTTGTGTGTGCATGTGGTACAATAAGTTATCCATCTGCACAGTGTACACCACAGACCCTAGCTTTCTCAAGTCGGACAAGTACAGTTTCCCCTCCCTTTATTCTTATTTCCTAGTTTACCTACTCCGACTGGTCCCTCCAGATGACGGGGTAGGATAAATGTTGATGTTATGAAGCAGTAGGTGTTCATCACATGACTAGAATACAAAATAAGCTCATATCATTTTTAAAAGAATTAATTGCTTATTAATTAAACACAATGTTTATTTGAAGTATATTAGTCCCAAAACTAACACTTTACCATTTCTAACACTGAGTGTTAGAAATGGGCACAAATATCCCAGCTCATATCGAGAGTAAAAGTCGATGGTTAAAACTATAACCAACATTTGATTAAGCATGACGAAGACAACAATTCCCAATTTAAAACTATTTTCTGAAATCAAAATTATAAAAATAGATAAAATCTTTTTATATTAAAACCCTTGACCGTTTTCAAGACAATGTCGGGTTTTCCGTTTTCGAACATATCCTGATTTTGAATTATTGTCTCGTTTTCGAGACAAAACCTTTTTAGTTGAGTACAATCCGCAATTCAGAACAAAACTCAATTTAATAATTTACAAAAGTTTAATTTCCCGCATTTTAGATAAACACTTTCCTACACTAGTTAAATTTATTTATATTGTAAAAACAAAATAATATTAGTATTTAGATTTTTCAATGCTGTAATTATTATTAAATTATAATATGTAATATGCTTTTATTTTCTATTTTGTTTATACTTTACCGTATCAAAAAATTTAGTTTTGTTACGTAAGTACGAAAATGCTTGAAAATTGACTTTGATATGAATTCCAGTAATTGTCTCAAAACCAGGAAATGTTCCAAAAACGCGACATGAGCTAAAATGCAGTAATAGTTTCAAAATAGAGGGATACGTTCGAAAATGAAATCAAGTTTCCCCAAAAACTGATTTTTAAACTATATTATTAGTTTAAAGTTGACATTTTTTGTTTCATTGTATAATTATAGCCATTTTTATAAATATAAGGTGTAGTTTTGTTCAACTCGGCTTGGATTTAAAGATATACGCTTGGAAACGATAACTTTGCAGTCTTGGCCCATTTCTTACACTTCTAGAAGTGTTAGAACTGGGCCAAGTGTTAGTTTGTGAACTAATTCCCCTGAATTACAAAGCTTCGACTTGTGTACAGTATGCATACAGACTTGACTTATACACAGCAAAACGGAACAGTACACCAAATGAATCATCACCCTTTAAAAGAGTAGTTCAAAGGACAGTTAAAAGGACACTTAATAAAATATTTTTTTGTTTTGATATTTAAATTATTTTGTATGTTCCTTGGTATCGGCCAGTTATCTGGTAATCCATCTTGTATGCAGTCTATATGTGTTCCCAGTCCTATATACTCTATAGCAGTTACAAGTAGACAGCATACAAGCAGTACTAGGCCTGTAACCTAAACAAATACCGTCTATATGTGTACCCAGGTCTATATACTCTATAGCAGTTACAAGTAGACAGCATACAAGCAGTACTAGGCCTGTAACCTAAACAAATACAGTCTATATGTGTACCCAGGTCTATATACTCTATAGCAGTTACAAGTAGACAGCATACAAGCAGTACTAGGCCTGTAACCTAAA